ACACTGTCCTCTTATTTTTTGTAATTATTATATAGAATGCTATAAATTTCCTAGTAGTTTGATGAAAACCCACACATCTTAGAATTATGAACTGTTGAATTTCTATTATATTAGCTATGAACTTATTTTAAGGCTTCAAATATCAAGCAGCTTCTGAAATAGGAACTAGGGAATTACTGCTGGAACCATTACACTTTTTAAAGTGGACAAATGAAAGAACAGGTTTTTTGTAGGTAGTAGTATTGATAAGGAACTTAAAAGAGCAATGAGGTGTCTGCAGATCTTTCCACACTTGGTTGTGAGAGAAAGAAAGCAAGTAGTGGCACTAGAATCAGAGGAAGTCTTATATCCAGGACCCAGGTTTAGCCAGGAAAGCAGGGGAATGCTACTGCAGCACCCACATGCAAAGAGTGCAAACAAGCAGAACATCTATTTAGTCACCTTATCACTTGTCTGGTGTTTGCACATCATCCTGTCTGGAGCTGACACAGGATTTTAGTAAAGAACAAATACATAATTTGGGCTTGTCAGCACAGCTTAGTAGAATATAAGCAAATGTGAACAATCTCTATTTCATTTCAGGGAGGATAAAGTTGGTGGCAAAAGTAACTCCACAGAAATAAGAGGTGAAAAGGAGTTACTTAGGTTTGCCTCCCATCACGTTTAAAAGACTTGCTAGTAAAACATGGCTCAACTTGAGACTAGTCAACTGATCTAAAATGCAGCCCAACAACAGGAATTCAGACATTTACCAGAAACCTTTTCAAATAAGAGAAAGGATGCTGAAAAGATTGAGGGTGGATCCAGTGGTTTGGATTTACCTGTATCTCATAACAAGCTGGTGATTTCTGTGGCCACTAAAATACAGTGTAATTGGATCAACTCTAAATCCACACACTTGCAAAAGAATCATTCAGGCCATGAAAAGCATTTGCATAGATAAGAATTCAAGGGTCCTACTGGAAAAAGTTGGACACAGCAGTGCAGGAAGCAGGGCTGTGCAGCACCAGGATAATGCCAAGCACAAAGCAATCCCAGCACAGATCTAGTCATTGCTCTGCTGCACTAGAACCAGTCTTGCCAAGATGGAAAGGCAGGAACCACACCTGCACCTCAGAGTCACAAACTGTGCAATCTGTGGGAAGTCTCTTACAGCAAGGGAGCTGGAGAGTTCATTAACAAACAAAGGTGCTTGATTACAGCACATAAGCCTCACAGAGAGCAGGTACTGAGTTTCAAAACATTGTACTTTCTGCAACCAAGCTACTCAGAAACTGAATTCCTTGTCCCCTCAACTCCTCAAATGAAGCCAAGATCCTTTCAAGGAGGTGTGTTAGTAGAAAGGCAAGTTCTGTGAGCAGCACCTTAGCCCATGGGGAGGTACAAGCCAGCCTGTCTCTCACCAGGTCAAGAGAGACACTGCATGCACACGGCCTTGTCTCACCCTAAATTCTGACATAATTTTAGCATAGACAGTGTGCAATGGGCAGAGAAAAACCAAGAACACTTGCAATTAAAACCAACAAACATGCATAGTGCTTTCAAGCCTGTGGAGTTTTCAGCCTGCACAGACCTCAGGACAGAATCTTTACTTACAGTTACACTGTTAACATTCTGAAATTTTACATAGCGAAGCTGGACAATACCATCTTCTTTAATATCATCTGGTGTCAGCTCCAGGGCTTGAGTTGGTTCACTTCTTTCTGCTTCTTCAAAATCCATCGATCGAGGAAGATTGATGAAGATTTTTATGTACTTTGGACCTTGCCCTGTGTTGGAAAGAGGAGTGGTATCCTGTTGTTTAAACAGATTTTCACAGTGCTGCCTGAGAAGGCCTTGCTTATCAGTGTCTAGATACCACTGGAGAAAAACAGGAGCTTCTGGAGCTCTAGTATCTTATCTGCCAATCCTACATCCCCATCCTGGATACTGCAGAGCATCCAAAGTTGCACTACTTGCCTACAGGTCAGAGCCAAACTCCAGAGGGAAAAAAATCCAATAAAAAGTCTAACAAGAATAGTTTTGCTATGTCATATAAAATGATAAAGCATTCAGGTGTTATCATAGAAACTGAGTTACCATAAAAGCTGAGCTAAGCCTTAAGAAGCTCCCACATTCATTTCAGTTTCTCTTTGCAGCAGACCAAACTATCATAAACACTTGGATTTGTGTCACATCAAACACCCATGTCTGAGGTCAGTGAAAAATTAATGAGGTCATTTGTTACCTAATTCCTTTACAACAAATTTACTGGAGCTGCTGAGGGATTCTCAGATGGTCCCAGGTTCCAGAGACAACAGTGTCATCTTTGGAAAACTCAGCTAAATGTGGGCAAAGCGTTGGCTTCCAAGATAAGATCAAACAGATACTTCACTCACCATTATCTGGCCCCTGAAGTTTCATTGAATAAAGCTTGACAGGTTGACTAAAAGCTACAGTAATAAGCAGCTGTGGAGGAAAAAAAAAGTTGCTGTTAACCACTGTTTTCTTCATTCGTAAAAACAAACACAGCACAATAATTAACTAGAAATAAGCCTGAGCTTTGAAATACAGTGAAGCACTTGCCTTCTCTCTATTCTACACATGCACCAGCCTGTCACCCTAAAAGCACAAGCAATTGCTACACCACTTGGAATTTTTTTCCATACATAAAAAAGGATGTGAAACTGGAAACGCTACAACCACCTTTGTATACTAATTTTACTTGCATCCCCCCCTCTTATTTACACTACCATAAGAATATCAAGCAGATAAACTCTCAAAAAATGCTTGCAGACCAGACCCATCATTGAAAATATCCCACCAAAAAAATCTCTACTGTACCTGCTCATCACAGTCTGATTCTAAGTAGGTTGAGTCTTTTCGTAAACAATTATCAAATCCGTGCTCATCACTCTCATTAAGACATTCACAGCCAGCTTTATTGATAAATGGCATTAAATCCATCTAAAAGGAAAAGCAGGAGCATTCCTGAGTGCGTGAGAAGCACACCATGAACTCATCTGGGATTAGTAGCATTGGAATTAATTCAATTCTTCATTCAACAGATTAAAACACCAAGACACGCCGAAAACCTCAGGGATTTATATCAAAAGACACGACAAACAAAACAATACTAGAGTACTCAGATGTATCCTGTTCATAACTGGACAGGATTCTTCCCCTCCATTCCAAGTCTTGCAGCCCTGGAACACGTTGCCATTCTGAGAATAAGGAATTGGGCAGAGGGAGAATCCTCAGATACACTTTTTATAAGCAAGACTCCAGCACTGTAAGTCACACCAGAACAAACTGACAGCAGGCTGGAGCTGTCATCAGCATCATAGAAAAGCCACTCAGAAATGGGCCTCCCCAGAAACATAATTTATGTTTTAGTCAGAGGGATTTTGATGCAAGACTTGAGAAAGTATATGGAGAAATAGAATAGCTTTCTTTTTCACAAATTCCTAAAAAGTTACAAGCCATTTACTTAGTTTACATGATCTGTGGCTGCCTGAGCAGTGATCACTGGAGACATGTGCAGTGCCCCATCAGAAGCAGAGTGATAGACATTAAGCATTAAGTTGAAAGCAAATTCCAATCCAGCAAGAAGTCTCTCTTGTATGCTGCTCAGACAAGGCATGGAATCTTTTCCAAATATTCCTGTGACATGTTTTTTACTTTATGTATTTTTTAGATGCCTGTCATCCTTCTACAGGCAAGAAGAGATCTACAGAGAACACATTGTAGGACCATCCACTTTGGCAAACATCAGCAATGAGGCAAAAGAAAATCTATCACGAGATCTCATTTATCCAACAATGCCCTCCCTGAGGCATCCTATTTTCAGGACAAGCTGCTCCAGAGAAAGAGGGAGCTGAACTGGCCTGAAGGTTAATTCCTTTGGCAACAGAATCTCTCCCCCCCTCTCCTCTATTTTTTTTTTTTTTTAAGAGATGAAATAAAGAGGATTAAAGAAAGGGTTGGGAGCAAGAAGTAAAAAGGAAAAACCCAAATGAATCTACCACCATGGAAACAATAGAGGGGATTTTTTTAAGGAACAACCAGAGCAACTTTTCTGACAGCCATGTCTAACAATGTCTTTTCCCATGGGCATTTTTACTTTTTAAATAAAAACATTTTGGGAAGAGGAAAGAAATAGAATAAGCAGCTGCAAAAAGTTAATGATAAAAATTCTTTTAACAATTAAGGGCTATGCATGGAGATTTAAAAAAAAAACAAAAAACACTTACAACATCAAGATCATACTTTGTAAGTAAGTACATGTTAATTTTTCAAGTTTCCTTGAAAAAGGAAACCCTGATAAGTTTCATTTTCTCAAAGCCATGGGGCACTTGCAGCTTTGCTTCAAGTGCTTGACTTAAGAGTCTATTTGGAAAGCAACAGATAGTTTTTCAGCATTCAAGTTATGCACACGTAAAAAAAATTATCTTAGATGCATACATATCCTTTGGGAATATCTGTATCTTCACTGTTTCCAGGATCATTTTCCAGGTGCTGTTTAATTTTTTCTTCTAACCCCACAGCATCTGCTCCTTGGTATTGGTCGATTCGCACTTTGTTTCGGAAAAACAGAAATGTGGGTGTTGCTGATATATTATTGGTAGCAGCTGTTCCCTGGAACAGAAATTAGTTACAAGTGTCACCCAACATCATTACCAACAGTAGATACAGACATTACTTTGTTTCACCTCAGTAAGAATGCAGGCACTGGAGATGAACCAAGCTGCACCACCTCAGACATCACAAACAGTTTTGCTATTTTATAAACATCTTTAACTCAAGACAACAATTTTAAAGCCATTTAAATTCTTCAGGTCCTCCCTTTACAGATTTGGGCATCCTTTGGATGGACTTCACACTGCCAGTGGATTTAGGGGTGCACCACAGACACCACCCTGCTGCCTTGCCCTCGGAAGTGGAGGATGGCTTCATTTAACACTTCATTTCACCAGCTGTCTTTACACCTGCAACCCCTCACCCCTCCCAAGCCACACTCCTGCCCACCCAGGAACTGCAGCCTGCTGCTGCAGAGAGTGAATTCCAATCAATTTCCCCCTGTATCCAGACCTGTTTTGCAACCATAGCAGTTTTCCCAAAACTTTCCCTAATTTAGCATAATTTGCAAACACTGTTACCACATTTATGTTCACCTCTCTCATTATAATGTGTAGTAATTCAAGATACTTCCTTTCAATATACTATTGTTAATTTTTGTTAACGACCCTCAAGTCAATCAGCAGCTCATCTGCAACACTGTTGTCTGTTAAAAACAGTGGAGTAGTACTTGAGAGGAATCTAGTCCCACTAATTAGAACAGTCTACTCATTTTTCATTTTGCTCAATAATTATGCCAATATTTGTGTGGAAAGACTCATTTCAGCTCACACTGGTGCTACCTGCTACGCCTAAATCTGAAAGCACAAGCAGCAGGAACTCTTAAAACTGCTTAAACTCTGCTTAAGTGGAGGATGTGACAGAGGTAACTGCAAGAATACTTTTTGAAATACAAGTGTTGCTTGTTCACACCTTTGTGCATCTTCTAATTCCAGAGAATTTCACAATATGGCTACTTGTGACTCACCAAACCTCTCAACAGCCACAAGACATTGCTCAGTATATTGTTTGCAGAGTTTTTCTTCAGATTTACCATTTGCTGCATTATCTGCTCTCTTACAACTGAAAAGACCACGTTGAACACCAACCTGGCACTGATGCACATCTACTTCCAAAAAGGTTGCCTGGGGATATTTGTTACTCAGAGCATTGAAAGCTGGAGCTATCCTTAAACAAGGGCCACATCTGCAAAAACAAAGTGCAGTTTAAGTTAACTCGACCTTTCTCTGAAAAAAAACTCCTGCCCCAAACACAAGCAGCACGTTCATGTTCTTACTGGTATCCTTGGTACATGTAAAAATAACCTTCCTACCTGGCTGACAGATGGTGAGCAATCCTGGTGATACAATTAAGACTGACATCTAGAAACACATCATGAAGTGTTAATTCCCACTTCCTCAGACAGTTGCAATGCCTTGTGATTAGCTTCACCTACTAACTTACACTAACTTCATATTTTCCACCCCATGTGTTTAGGCCCAGCATCTTTTACCAGAAGGCAAAGTACTGCTACCTAAAGTAAGAAAAGGGAGGACGAAGAATTGCCTGCTTTTCCTGAAACAGCAAAAAATACTCCTCACAACTAGTACCAGCACATCACTGCCTGTGAAAAACAGTATCCACAGTAAAGTCTCCAGTATGAGTTTAAATGCTTAACAATAAAAATGTATCAAACCTTTAGCAGAAATTCTTACTATGTTAAATCTCACAACTGTAACCAGTTACTACCATTACTTAGTCGGCCCTGATACAAAAGACCTGACTTATGTTGACTTACTTGTAACACCACCAGCACATCACTGCCTGTGAAAAACAGTATCCACAGTAAAGTCTCCAGTATGAGTTTAAATGCTTAACAATAAAAATGTATCAAACCTTTAGCAGAAATTCTTACTATGTTAAATCTCACAACTGTAACCAGTTACTACCATTACTTAGTCGGCCCTGATACAAAAGACCTGACTTATGTTGACTTACTTGTAACACCTTGCTTGAAAATGTGTATTTATGAATTGTTGTGCCTTTGCTAGCCTAGATTCAGTGCACAGACACAACCCTT